CCCCCCCCCGCGGCTGCCGCGTTGCATGGAGCCTCAGGTGGGACCCCAAGGTCACCGCGATGCTCGCTCTGCCCTGCAGGCAGCGCGGCTGCTGCTGCTTCCCCAGAACGGGCCCAGTGCAGAGCAGGAGGCAGCTGCCCTGCTCGGTGTGCCTGTCGTGCAGCCGCAAGGCCTGGCATACACCTCTGGACGCGTTTTTCTGCTCTTCCCTAGAAAAAGGAGGAACCCAACTTCACACCAGAAGATGCTGTTCTGGCATCTGTTGGCATCGTGAAGTGCAGCCCCGAGCACGGGCTGCAGGTGTCGGAGAGCATGGCCCTGGCCCTGGAGGAGCTGATCCAAGCGTGCTGCGGTGAGTGGCATGTGCCTGGGGAGGCTGGGGCTGTGGTAGCCTAAAAAAAGGAAAGTCATACGTTTTTTCAAGAGTTACAGGGTGGAGAGTGTGACAGGCACTAACTGAGGGTCATGCTTTTCTCCTGAATTGGTTTGTGCCTGCTGCCAGGCAGGCAGCACGCTGCTCTAGAAACACTTCCAGTCTGGCATCAAAATTGATTTTGCTCTTTTGTAGCAGGTGGTAAAAAAACATCTCATTTCTTACCCAGCAATGTTAAAAATATCATAAACCACAGGAGTTCTTACATGCTGGCTTATAGTGCCTGGGCTTGCTTCTTGCTTCGGGAATCTTTTCCCGTTACGTTGGTCCCTGCTTCTCTTTATTTTTTTCCCACTTGACTCAGATGCATCCTGGTCAGACCACAGAGTTTGTTGGCTTTTCTGAGTTTTTTAAAAAGCAAACATATGTAAACAGAGCAGGTGGGAATAACCGATATCATTGGTCCATTTCACAATGTTTGTTTTTCCAGCGGAAGACGAAGGTGTCCCTGTGGTTCTGGTGTGTGGCCCAAAAAACACTGGGAAATCAACATTTAATAGATACTTGATTAATCTGTTACTGAATCGGTGAGTCTTCATATTTTACAAGTTTTCAAGTACTCCATAGGTTTTAGGAGAAGGAAAAAAGCTGCCTGTCGTGATTCTCAGAAAAACTGCTGTGACTGGAAGGTGGAGTCTTTCAAAAACAAAGAAAATTTCAGAGAAATATGCATTTTTGCCCTGGGTTTTTTCAGAAAAGTTCCTTACTGAAACATTTGTATTGACATACTTCTAAATTGCTTTTTTGGAATAGGTGAGCTTACTTGGGCAGTGAGCAGTTAGAATTCAGTAAGGAACTGGGAATTGCAGCCCATCAAAAATGGAGTGAATTGTAATTTGTTGGTGTCTTTGAAGATTATTGGCAGAGCGAGGTTCTCCTGAACACTGTATGCTTAGAGTACAGATTATAAAGTTGATAACTTTGAAATGTGTGGTCTGAGGGTGCCTAGTTCATGTGGGAGAGGTGGTGCACTTGGTACCACCTCCAGTTATTGTTCTAGCTACTTCCTGTAAAGCTGCTTGAGTACAGAGTTATTGTAACATATTACTGAGCTATAGCGGAGCCTTTTATGTTCTTGTTTAATATCCTGTCAAGTGAGGAGAGGAGAGAGACAAGTGGGAGTTTAATTGTGTTGAATTTAATTTTGATAACCTGGAACAAAATCGTTTTGCTTCTCATGTGTTCCAGGTCACATCCAGTGTCTTCTTTCTGTTTTACTGTGTGCTGATACATGGGCTTCTTTCCCTGCAGCCTTCCCTCGGTTGAATACATGGAATGTGACATAGGTCAAACGGAATTTACGCCTCCTGGGTGCGTGTCTCTAAGTAACGTAACGGAGCCAATTCTTGGTACGTGTTCTGCTGCTTTCTGCAGTTGCCGGAAACCTGTTTCATTTCCAGAAGGTGTTTTCTGAGTAGAGGCTGTGCTTGAGGGGAAGTTGACACATTTGTCAAAGGTGCAAATAAAAAATAAATCCAAGGCTGTAAAAGCTGTCATGTTAGGGCCATCTGAGCTCCATGTGAGATTCTGCCTAAGTAACGTGGAGTTATTCTCCCTGCTTGTTTGTTCTAAGAAGGAGAAGATAGTTGTTTGTAAGGTGATTAAATGTGTGACATGTCAGAGTGGATTTTCAGCCTTTTGGAGTTGAAAGGTCTGTTTGGGAATATCTTTCCCAGTTTTTATTATCTGTAGATAAAACTAACTTGGATTCTGGAAAGTGACAGAAAAGTTTCTCCATAGGTGCAGGCTGCACAAGAAGGACTACTAGCGTGTGAAAAGGGGGCATGTGATTTCAGAAGGGATTGCATGAAGCTGCTACAGGGATGGGAGTTCCTTTTTTGGCTTACTGAAGTCACTAGATGTTTGCTGCTTGGTTTTCCAGGTCCACCCTTCACTCATCAACAAACACCACGTAAGATGGTGTATTATGGACAGACTAGTTGTGAGCAGGACACAGAAAGATACCTTGATGTTGTGAAGTATGTGTTCAGCTCCTACAAGAAGGAAGTGCCTTTAGTCATCAACACCATGGGCTGGGTGAAAGGTAAGCAGGATAAATCTGTTCTCAGGGTGGTGCGGAAGGAAGGCAATGGTCTAGCAGTACACTACCATGCTTTCTAGAGAGTGCAGATCCAGAAGATACAGCTTACCCCCTTGCACTAATATTGGTACTCCTTAACAGTGTTCTGACCTGTCTGTGTAGTGGTGGCAATTGTGTTTTCTGTGCTCCCTAAAGGTGAGGGCTTGCTGCTTCTGATTGATATCATTCGGCTGTTGTCACCCAGTCACATTGTGCAGATGGATGTGTATGAGTGGAAAGCCATGGCCCCGCTCACCCCAGAGCACGTTCACCTCACTGCTGGCCTGTACACCAAAGGCAAACAGCAAGGCAAGCACAAGCAGATGGGTGTGGGTGGAGCAGAGAACTGGAAGTCCTCTGAAGAGGAGGGAGATGCCTCAGCTCCTGAGTACAAGCTGCTCTATGTCCACCCGGAATTCCCCCGAGCAGGGGTTGCAGGTGAAGTGTAAGTAGAATGTTTGGCACTATGTGCTGGTTAGTGGGCTTACCAAAAGTGTGTAGTCCTGAGGGCAAAGGCTCTTGCTTTGGCCTTGCAAACTCTCTTACATCAGAACTTACTAGTTTACTTACTGGGGATGGGTATGTTTGGGTGTTGCTTGTTTGGCTTTTCTGGGTAGTTTGGGAGGGTGGTGTTGTTTGCGGGCATGTTTGTGTAGAGGTGGATTTTTAGGGTTGGGGAGGGGGTTGTGCCTCCTTACTCCCGGTGACTTGAGGGGTAGATTAGTTTTAAAAACTTGTGTGAAGCAGGGGCCAAAACTGCTTGTTATACTTGGGGCTGGTTTGGGGGTATCTGGTGTGAGTTCCCCCGTCAGGCGGTGCTGCCTGTTGGTGACTTTTGGTTGTTTCTCCAGGCGAGTGCACAGTAGCATCCTGCGTGACATGTCCATCCTGGGCTACCTGGGCCAGCTGCAGTCCCCAGACATAGGGGCAGTGATTCCGCTGCACAGTCTTGTGCCCTATCAGGTAAATGAGCATTTTGTAAAGGCCTGGAGACGTTGCAGAGGGCCTGGCTCTAGTCGTGTGTCTCGGGAGCGCTCAGGTTTTGTGTACTTGGCATTATCTTATCTCTGAGCTCGAGCTGAACTGATGCTGAGCTGATGATAGAGCTGCTGTTTTGTTTGTTTTTTCCCCATCTCAGGTGCCTTTCAGTGCTGTAGCACTTAGGGTTATCCACACAGATGTTGCTCCTTCCAACATCATGTATGCAGTGAATGCCAGCTGGGTTGGGCTCTGCAGGATTCCCGATGAAATCAGATGCCAGACGGATGGGCCGGTCCTGCTGACACAGACACCGGTCTGTGATTGCCTCGGCTTTGGTGAGGCACCCTAGGAAACCCTGAGCTGCCTTCTCACCTGTTGTGTTTTGGCAGACAGGTTGCAGAGTGATAGAATTGCCAAAAAAACTGAACAAGTGGGATGAGATGAAAAAAATACTGTGTTTTCTATTTTATGAGCTGTTTCGAGTACTTTTCGAGTGGTTTTCATTAACTTGTGGTAGCACTTACAGAGAACGTCACTGGTGCCTTTTGTAGCTTGCTTCTCTTATGCTTTTGTATCTTGATAGTTTGCTTGCTTTCTGGATTAACGTTCTCAAAAGCAGATTCCATGTGGCTTGTGTAAAATCCCTTCAGTTGTCTGTCAGTTTCCTTCTAGAGCTTGATTAGTATTACAGTTCTGACTTGGAGTATGATGCTGAGCTCCTTGAGTGTCTGTAGGAATGTGCCAATAAACAACAATAGGTGGGTTTGGGAAGTTTGCTGCTAGTGAGGACACTGAGATACTGCAAAACCAGGATACAGCAAGGCAGGGTATTTTGCAGGATTGGTGTTCATGATCTAGCTGATGTGGTGGTGTTAGGTAAGAGGTTGGACTTGATGGTCTTAGAGGTCTTTTACAGCTTCAGTAGTTCTGTGATTCAAGTCCTTTTCCTGGTTCTAGAAGTCATTTATTCAAAGGGCTTGGCTGCTTCCAGTTACACAGTCCAAAAATGATTGATGCAGGTAACAGTGAACTTTGTGTATATGTATTTCAGGAATTGTCCGAGGGGTTGAGATGGAGAAGAAGCTTTACCACATTCTGACACCAGTGCCTCCGGAGAACCTGAGAGTAGTGAATTGTCTGCTCCTTGGAAATATTGCTATCCCAAACTGTGTTCTTGTGGGCCAGGTAGGACCTGCACAGGAAGAGGGTGGAAGCTGGCTGATCTTAGGCTGTTGGCATACTTTCCACTTTCTTATTTTTGAGGCTTCTGCATGCCTGGAGATGTCTGGGCATTAGCAGATGGTTATCTCTATAGGAAATTGTCCTTAATGCATAGAAAGAGGGAGAGGAGAGCATTCTTCTCGTGTTTCAGATACCAGAGCAGGGTTTGTTTGGTGACACTAGTCAGCTCTTGTCATTCTGCAGAGTAAATTGCTTCCTGTTCTATTGAAGATTCAAGTTCTTAAAGTTGTTTCTGTTTTTCCTCTTTTCAGCAAGGAGTTGAGGGAGAGATCCCCTATGTCACATCTGATTATAACTACAGCATCTTGGGGTCTGGGAAGCTGAAAAAGAAGAAGCAATCCAAGAGAAGGCAGTACACCTTCGAGTGTGATTATGCCTAAGACCTCGGGGCCTTGGACCACGGGATTTGTCTCATGTGGAGACTGGCACAGGCCAGGTGTGGTCACAGAAGCCCTGGGTACGACAGCTCAGAGAGACCCTGGGCAGGTGTCTGGTGTACATACTGGAGCACGTCTGTTTTTGATAATGTTTTATATTTTCGGTTTGTATTTTGGTGTTTTGTAATAAATATCTATTAAAAACGTTGGTTTGGCTTGAACTTCTTCCTCAGCCTGTGCTGTCCTGGACACAGCTGATCCAAGCTGGAGATGGTTATCAGAAGTGCTCCGGGCCATGGGTTGCAGGCGTTCCCTGTTTGAGGTCCAGCCTTTGGTCAGCTCTGGGTTTTGGGGAGTGATCCGTCAGCGTGTGGGCTTCCCTTCACAGCCAGCTGTAACCTAGGGCTGCTCCTGCTGTTGGTTCTCTCCCTGGCAGTGCTGCTGACCTGTGTCTGGTGTTTTCACTTGTCAAAGAGACAGTGGAGGAAGGAGCTCGTTAGAAACTCCTCTTTCCCCCGGTGGCTGCAGATGGAGCCGCTGGTGGGAGGTGCTTGCTGTGGTGACCAGCCCCTGTGGCCCGGGGCACTTCCACCTCGCGGCTGCCTCTGGCCACATACCCTGTTGCTGTGATTTAAATTAAAAACCTTGAGTGCCATTGTGGGAAGAGCTCTGGTTCTAGCTCGAAGGTGTCACCCAGCTCTCTAAACAGATCATGGTACATTATGAGAGTGGGGAGGACTGTGGTACCCACGCTGGTGCCTGCTCCAACCTGACTTGTTACCTGCTCTGTGCCCCATGGGGAAAAACTATTCGTTGCTTTCTTTATATATTTTTTTCCAGCTCTCTGGGGGCAGCAGTTTGCTCCTGAGGGAAGATAGAGTTGGTGGGAATCACACAGAGGTAAGTGAGCATCTCTGGCTGAATCCAGGACCTTTTTGGGAAAACAACTTCTGAACAGGTAATACCAACAGATCAGGTGTTTAACAGAGCCTTGACTGCAGAAATAACCTGGCTTCAAACCAGGCTCCTGCTGATGTGCAGCTCTGCCTGAGTCCCAGAGCAGGGGAACAGTCCAGCCCTGGGATTGTAGCCCCCTGAGATGGATGCCCATTGAGGGCCAGGTCTCCTGCAGGGAAAGGAGAGATGCAGTGCTCTGCTGGATCTTTTTGGCGGGAGGGTCCTGTGCGTGTGAGTCAATCTGCAAAAAATAGTTTTATCTGGCTTGTGAGATACCCTGCTGCTCCAGAAAGGTACCTGTAAATGAACAAATTAAATAGAATGCTAGGGAGAGGACGGAGCTGGAGAGGAGCTGCCAGGGGCTGTGCAGCGTTGCTGCCTTTTAAAGAGTTAAAGCTTTTAACTTAATCCTGGCCTAATTATCCCCATCTGGCTGGGTCTGGCAGTGCTGGAAGGACTTGGCTAGCAACTGGGCCTGAACAGTAGCTAAAATAAATACAGGGCTGTTGTACAGCTGGGGAAAATCCCGGGCAAGGCGGGGTTCAAGCCGCGGGGGAGTAGGCAGAAAAGGCGCCGGGAAAGGTGAGATGGGCGAGTGGTGCTGGTGGAGCACCCAGCGCTGAACCCCCCGGGCTGAGCATTCCCCCAGCATACACCTCACCCAGCTGAGGGTGACAGACCCCTCTCTGCCTGGGCAGGGGTCCCCCCTTGGAATAGGGGGACAAATGAGTGACACCCGTGTGCTTGTGTCGAGCCTCTAGTGTCTGATTTTGGACCTTTTGGGGTGGGGGTACCAAGCTGCTGGTGTCTGCTGGGGCCCTGGCTGCTGGTACTCAGCACAGGTCTGGCCTGAGGGAGGGGGAAGCAGCAGGGTGGCAGGGGGGCCTTGGAGCGTAAACACAGGCATAGCATCCTGCTGGCAAAGGTGGGAGCACGTTGGTACTGTGATTGATAAGGAATTTGTTACTTGACACTTCAGCTGTCAAGGGGGTGCTAAACAAAGCGGGATGGAGTGTTTTGTTAGTATGTTGGTGTCTATTAACTTTGCAGGAGTTATACTTCTTGTTTTATTTCTGGGTAACTTTTCTGGCAAAGGGTGCCTAGAAGCAGCAAAACTATGGGGAGCATGTGGTGCCTTTGGGAGAAGATGGTGTTGATGCTGATGAGTTTGGGGGCTGGGATGGTCTCAGCCCAGCTGATCGGCCTACGCGATGTTTTGTTTTTCCCTCTGCTTTAGGGAGTGTTCTGTGTGGGGCAGGACAAAGGTGTCCTCCTTTGCTGCCTTTGTAGGTTTTAAGCCCTATTTGGTGCTTTCCCATTTACTTGAATTTAGCGGGGAGGGAAAACCCCCCTAGAGACCCCTGGCTTTCCCTGTGCAGACTGGGGCCCCGGCGTGCCTACGGGTGCAGAGGTGCAGCCGAGGCTCGGGGC